TTAATTTTTATTTTATTTTATTATTTTTTATGTGTGTACCATCAAATCGGATCTGGCTGGTACAGGAGGAGATTGTCCCTCCTTCCCCAGCAGAACTTCTGGTGGATTCAAACCGAATACCTCTGGGATTCAGTGCAGCTTCTTGCCACTAGGCCTCCAGAGCTCTTAGAGCTTGACTTATTAAAAAAAAAAAAGAAAAACATTTATTTTAGATTGGTTTTTTTACAAAATTAATATTTACTCTGCTTCACACTTCCCTTCATTCAAATTGTGTTTTGTAAAATTTTGTAAATTTGTAAAATTATTCCCATACATTGTGTTTTATAAACTAAATTCCTATTTAATTATGTCCACCATTACCCCATCTTTTCAGATCTCTGTCTGATCGTTCCCATTTACTATGTCCCTACTCCTTCTATCCTAGACTTTTAAATTTGTAATAAGCTAGCCCATTTAAGAAGTGGATAAAGGATGTATTTTCCCTCTATTTCTCTTTATTTAAGGGCACTCTGGTGGCCTAGTGGCAAGAAGTTGCACTGCAATCCCAAAGGCACACAGTTCAAAGCCACTATCTGTTAAGCAGGAGAAATATGGGTAATCTCTTCCCGTGTGATTAACTGCCTTTCAAAACCCACCAGCCAGTCAGCAGTGGGTCCGTTGTGACTCAATGGTACATAACAACAACAACAACAATCTTTACAAATAAAGATTATGACTATATCATAAACTGAGGGAATACAAAAATTTAGGAATAATTTTCAGGCTAGTGGAATGATTACAAGGAAGGGAAGCAGCAAGCAAATAACTTGGAAGGCTGCTAAGTATAAGGTGGGCAGTTCAAAGCCACTCCATGAAGGAAACATGGGAAGTGTCCTCCCATATAAAGATTTATAGCTTTGGAAAAGGACTGAAGTTTCAGGCTAGTAGAATGATTACAAGGAAGGGAAGCAGGAAGCAAATAACTTGGAAGGCTGCTAAGTATAAGGTGAGCAGTTCAAAGCCACTCCATAAAGGAAACATGGGAAGTTTCCTCCCATATAAAGATTTATAGCTTTGGAAAAGGACAGAGTTGGAGTCAACCTTTAACCTAGATCTTACATAGTACTTATCCTGTAGGTTTCCTCTGTTTTATGTGGTAGATATTCTTTAGTATCTGGTGCCAATTTCAAATCTACTGTGATAAGTATTCATTTCAGCACTAGTTACTGCTTGGTGATAGGAAGCCAAGCCTTTAGGTTGCATATGTCTTCATTCACATACGCTGTAACTAAGAGTGAACGGGGACTACCTACACTTCCAAGAGGCATTCTACAATTCAGTTTCTCCACAACCCTGCCCCTACAAGGTTCAATATTTGTGTTAGTCTTGACCGAAGGATCTGGGTAACTAAAGGAAAATTAAAGGAGTGGAAATTAGTGTACATCAGGGCTGTATGCTTTCTTCATATCTATTCACTGCTGAGCAAATCATCCAAGAAGCTTTAGTCTATGAAGACGAAGTGGCATCAGGATAGGAGGAATATTGTCAACAACCTGTGTTATGCAGATGACACAACCTTACTTGATAAAAATGAGGAGGGCTTGAAACACTTGGTGCAGAAGAGCAAACATTACAACCTTCTATATGGATTGTATTGCACTAACAAGAATATAAAAATCCTCTCCATTGGACAAAAGAGCAACATCATGATAAATGGCCAAAAGATTGAAATTGCCAATGATTTCAGCGTAGGTGGATCCACAATCAACACCCTTCATACCATCAGTCTAGGGACCTCTCCAAATTTCTGAACAGCAATGGTGTCAGATAGAAGACTATAGTATACTTGAATCAGACCACGGTCTTCTTAGTATCTTATTGCATCTAGCAGCTGTATGTACAATTAATAAGGATGACAGAAGAAGGACTGTTGCCTTTGAGTTACAGTATTGAAAATGGGTAGTGAATATAAAAAACAAACAAACAATAAAAAACCCACCCCAAAACAAACCCCCCAAACTGATATGTCTTGGGAAAAGTATAGTCAGAATACTCCTTGGAGGCAAGAATTTTAAAGATTGGTCTGACATACTTTGGGCATGTTGCTTGTAGAATCTATTCTTTGGAAAGGTGGAGGATCAGTGAAAGAAAGACCTTCAGCAAGATAGATTGACATAGTGACTGCAGCAATGAATGGACTCAAACATGTTAGATATGATGAGGATCACGCAGGATAGAGCAGGATTCACATCTATTGTTCATTGGGTTTCTATGAGTTTTACTCAATGTAAAGGCATCTAACGACAACATACTAAATATAATTTTTCCAATAAAACAAGAAATTAAGACTTTCACAGTGGGCCTATGTAAGGCATATCCTCACTTTTTCATTTTCAGATCTCTGCAATGTATCATACTTCTCTGTTCTTGGCTCCCTTTTCCATTACCTTTTCCTTGACCTCGGTTATTTTTCCCACTAGAGATCCTCAGACTCACCTAGAGGACCCTCTAGATGAGATCTTGGACACATGATGTCCTAAGCATTCAGGAAGGGAAATAGAATATAAATATTGACTGTCTGACAGTTATACTTCATTTCAAGGCCTCTATAACTGTCTGATTGCAGCACTTTCAACTGTCTGGTAGAGAACTGTGTGTCAGACAAGAACACACTCTCCATATATATGAAGAACAGGGTAAACTAGAAATTGATGACTCATTGATTAAGTCTGATCCACTTTAATTTTTTAATTTAGATCAAATACTCACAGATCTA